AAGAGGGGCAATGTGTTACGCCCTGAGGCATGTTCTTTATTTTGGAGGAAGTGATCACCTCCTCTATTTGGCCTTCTAGCGTCACAAGTAGGCTATGCTTAGTGTTTTATCTGGAACTGTTAGCCAGCAAAGATTAGAGAATGGCATCGAGGTCGAATAAAGAGTGGTGGTAACAATTTTACCGCTTCCTCATGAAGAGACCTACGACAGAGCATGGACTTGGGATTTGGTCATCAATTTGTTGTACATGAAGTCATACTCACAAGTAGGTGTACTGGAGTTGGTTTTCCACCACTTCGTTGACAGAAATCGATGCTGCAATTTTCTGTGACCTCTAGACTGCCACAAGAAGTCTGTTCTAACCACCACAAATTGCAAAATAACAGAATTGCCTAAGAGACAAATGCTTATTTTAAAGTAGCAAGAAATTTGTAGGTGGTTTGAGTGAAGGAGCCATGGAGACATCGTCATTCGTGGAGGTTTGCAAATGTCATTTTAAGTAGTTTAGGTGCTCTAGGTGACGCTGATGTATTGACGGTTTTTCATACTTCACTCCAGGAGAGCTACCAAGAGGAGTCCCACGGTCTCCTGCCACAAGAAGGCTACCAGCAGAGCTACACCACCCTTCAAGGTTCTAACACCCGCCCCCTTAAGCAAAGTGACCCTGCAACTGCTGTTACGGCGGAGCTGACAAGCACCATTCGAGCCTCTGATGGTCTTCATCCTCTCAGTCCTGAGGCGCTTTCAAAGCTGGAAGTGGTGATACGAGGTAGTCAGCACTCTCTGGTCCCTCCGCCTCCACCACCTCAACAGCAGTATATGCACCAACACCATTTGAAAAGATCCTTCTCAACTGTGGAGGCCTCTGATTTTGACCAAGTGATGTTCGGAACCACGTCTACGGTTCGTGGCATTAGTAGTGGGGCGGAAAAGCTGCAACAACAAGATTCATTCGTTACCACCCGGAATCCCTTGAATGGAGAAACGATACTCCATCTTGCTGCTCGAATGAATGTTGGCGCAAGAGCAATTCGTCGGCTTTGTGGAACTCTGGTTTCTGAAGAGGGTTCTGCGGCTTCAGCTGAGAAGACTCTCGCTCTTCTCTGCTTGGATAAAGATGGTAGATCTCCTCTAACAGCCTCGGCAGCTACTGACGGTCTCGAAACTACCACTGCCCTATATCGGTTGGAAAGAGAGGCGATTACCTGCAGTAGAAGTGCTGCAAGTTCCCAGTCTGTACCTCCGGCATCCACCACAGAGGGTGCAGGAGTTTCAGGTGAAAAACCTTCCACAGAAGCTCGACGTCGTACAAGA